CACCTTCGTTTACAAGTAACACAAATCAGAATTAATTGAAAGAACCACCCACCAAACATGGTTGGCTCCCAAAAGTCAATAATCTTGAAACAAGATTAGCACAACCTACACTACTCAATCAGTTGACAATGTCAATCAATTAACAGGAGCAATGCCTATCTGCTCAATTTAATACTCAATCAGGAGTATTTTTTTTTCTGATTGATTAGCCAACCACCCACAGACGAAGCTCACTAGTGTACACCTACTCGCTGGTCCTCCGGCAGCCATTTAAACCCGGGCGCAGAAAAAAAATCAAATCAAATCGAACAAGGTTAATTTACAGGTCCGGAAAGTCGGTGAAGAACCTCACAATCATCCCCGGCGAGGGCATGGTGGGCGTGGCAAGCAGCAGCCCGCCGGGGCTCGACGCGTCGCGGGCGCCGGCGGAGGCGAGGAACGGGCTCAGGTCGTTGAGCCAGGACAGGGAGCTGGTGTCGAACGGCAGCGGCGAGAACAGCCCCGCCGAGGCCGCCGCCGGCAGCGCTGACGGCACGGGCGAGAGGATCCCGGGCCGTCCCGGGCCGAGGACCTCCGCGAAGCCGTCCAGGTCCAGCCAGGAGCCGGCGGCGTACGGCGCGGGCCCTGGCGGCAGCGGCCGGACGGACCTCTCGATCGCGGCGTACCTCGCTGCCGGCGAGAAAGGCGATTCCTGCGGCTGGAACTGCGGCGGCACGGCAGAGGGCCCCGCCGCCGCCTCGGTGGAGGACTGAGCCGGCGCGCCCGGGCCGGTGAGGCGCTGGACGAGCGCCAGGAACTCGCCGGGCTGGGTGTGGATGACCTTGGGCGAGGCGTCGTAGATGATGACCGGCGCCCGCGGCTGCTGCGGCTGAGCTTGCGGGTGGCGGTTGTTGGGGGCTTGCTGCCGGGCTCCGTAAGGCAGCGGCACGACGGGCGGCTTCCTGATCTTGTGGGAGTCCTTGCTGACGGACAGCCGCGGGGGGCGCGGGCCCTGCAGCTGCAGCTGCCTGCTGCGTGGCGACTGGCGGTCCTCCGACGACGACGCGTCCATGGATCGCTCGCAGTGAAAGGAGGAGGAGGAAGAAGGCTAGCTGACAGAATGGGGAAGAAAGAAGACGAGTGTGCTTTGGTTTCTAGCTGCGGACGGACGCTGCCAAGAAATCAACGGGAGCAGGAGGAAGCCACGCGGCGAGGTGTGTCTTGTTGACCTCAACAGACGAGGAAAAGTCGTGTGTGCTTCCCAAAAATAATAGTAGGCCGGTGATAGCCGTCGGCTAACCGATGGGAGGACCGATCGATCACCACCTACCGTACGGCTAACCGATGGTAGCGTTAGCACCGCCTGCCACAGTAGGCGCCGGCGACCATTGTGGCACCGTCGCCGCATCGTCGACCATTGCAGCACCGCTCGCCGCATCGCCGGCCGCGGGCGTCCCTCATCTCATTCTCTTGCCAGCACGCCGCACCTCGGGTAGCCAAAATGCCCCGCAGCTCAGAGCATCACCGGTGACACGCGTCCATGTCTCGTACCGTACCACCGTATGTCGCAGCAAAGTGCGTGGCCAGTTGCAACTTTTTGGAGATGCGCGCCTCGTCTTATACCGTAGCGTCGCGAGTCGTCTGCCGCAGACGAGTCCACGGCCAGTCGCAGCTTTAGAATGCTCGGCCTAGATTAGCTCATCACATATTACATTCGCTCATAGGATTCGCTTACATGAGATAATCTTTCTTGCATAAGAGGAAAACGGAAAAGGTAAAGTGTCGCTAACGTGTCATTTCTAATTCAGCGGATGTCTTTCCCTTGTGAGGTCGCCTGCTTAAGTTGTGTTGATCCACACCAGGCCCACACACCTGCGGTTAGGTTGCACGATGCGATGTGGCTGCGTGATGACACACTCTTACCCCTGATTTGTCCCCATGGCCGGATTGGTTGTCATGGCAGCGTCTTTTGTCTGCGTCAGCTTAGCCCCCTTTGATGCCACCCGATTCGCAGGCATGACAGCGCTTTTGTTGACTGTCACTGATGGCGGGCTTGGGTTGCTGACATCCTCTCCTTGAGAAACGGATTGCCCCCAAGCCGGTAGCCGCGGAAAGCATTCCTTCGGTTGAACGGTATCCTCCCATGTGGCATCAAGAATGGTTGGATCTGACTAGCAGAGAAGGACTTGCTTCCGCCGACCAGATGGGGTTCTGCACCAGCAAGTTGTGATGATCTCCACTGGAGTGAGTACTACATTGGATGGCCAGGGAAGCTCCGTGATAGCTGCCACACCAGGAACAAGAGCTTGTCGGAGTTGTGAAACATGAAACACTAGGTGTACCTTTGATCCCTCTAGTAGTTGCAGTTTGTACGCCACCTAGTTGATGGCTTGCAAAACTTTGAAGGGTCCAAAGTATTTGAAAGATAGTTTATGGTTGGCTGTCATTCAATCGATGTTTGTACGTAAGGTGGTAAATTGACAACGGCTGGATCCATGGGCGTTGGAGGAGTCAGAGAACTCGCCCGGAAGAAGTCTGAGGCGGCAGACAGAGCTGCGCATACGACGACAAGGACGACGACGATGATGCGCCGCCCGCGGTAGACGCGTACATGGAGGAGCACAACCGAGATCTCAAGGGGAAGGGGTCGGCGCGCAAGTGGTGAACTCCAGCTTACTTTGTTTAAGTTTATGTAAGGTTAAGTTGGATGAATTCGCCCCTTTTGGTGAACTGCTATGTCCGATGTCAGATTTCGTATGTCGTGCATTGTTTTGTTATTAATCTATGTATGTTGCATGGTAGTACAAGTTTATGTATCCAATTTAGACAATTACGGTTGTGGGGAGCTCAATTTAGTCATTGTCCGGTCAGTGACAGCGGGCGCGAAGCCATATATAGAACACGTTCTACTCGAAGTAGACTTTGTGCCATGCACACCACCATCATAGTCTGCTCATAGGGTTACAACTCATGATAATTAAGGGTTTAGCCCGTGGACGCGACCTCTCTAAGGATCTTCGGAATTCCCCTGTCAATTGCAAAGGCTAGGAGCAAAGGCTTTTACTGTCACCTCGAATTACCTTTGCATCCCAGCCCTTTACAACGAGATGATATACTTTCGTGGCCATAAGGTACAAATGCTGAGTGGGTCCCCTTCACAACATTCATGAAGTTATTAAACTAAGCATTCAACAGAGGATCTCATATCCATAATAACATTTCAGATCCGACACATACCAAAGTTCATCCATATCCCCGAGAACTAGGGGTCTACTCACACATGGAGGCAACAACCATCGTGACAAGGCCGATGGCATACATGGATGGATGACTCGAATAACACACAAGATGATCCACTAGGGTTCCTAAGGTTACAATGGTAAGGATATGGATGATGAAGATGATGATAGTGGTGATGATGATGACAGTGACGATAATGTTGTAGTCGCCTTGCGCTTGCTGAGGAAGATGGCCCTCTTCTCCCTGCCAATCCCTCATTCGAACGATCTCCGGATGCTAGGGTTCTGCCTTCTGGACGAGTTTCTGGTCTCTTTGGGCGTCTGATCCCTGATCCGATTTCACGGCGTGGAAATAGCCGATCAGGTGGCGGCGTTGGCACTCCATTTGACCGCCCATGCGAGCGGGCACGGTCTCATGGAACGACATCTTTTCACTGGAAGCGCGGTCAGGGTTTCTTATTTGGCCTTCTGTGAACTCCATATGATCCCCGACGACAACGAGGCACCGTGAAATCGGATCAGGGATCAGACGCACAAGTATATGGGATCATATTTACTGTAGAAAATAGCCTTGATATATCTCCCCACAAGTATATGGGGTCAACGGTAGCCTTTTCGATAAATGAGAGTGTCGAACCCAATGAGGAGCAGAAGGAAATGACAATTGGTTTTCAGCAAGGTAATGTCTGCAAGTGCTAAAATTGCAAGTAGCGGAGTAGTTTGATAGCAAGATAATTTGTAACGAGCAAGTAACGATAGTAGTAACAAAAGTACAGCAAGGTAGCCCAATCCTTTTGAGGCAAAGGACAAGACAAAACAGTCTCTTATGATAAGCAACGTGTTCTTGATGGTACACGGGAGTTTCATCTAGTCACTTTCATCATGTTAGCTTAATCCGTGTTCGCTACTCTGATAATTTGGTATGTGAGTGGACCGGTACTTAGGTGTTGTTCTTACTTGAACAAACCTCCTACTTATGATTAACCCTCTCGCAAGCATCCGCAACTACGAGAAAAGTATTAAGAATAAATTCTAACCATAGCATTAAACTTTTGGATCCAATCGGCCCCTTACAGAATAGTGCATAAACTGGGGTTTAAGCTTCTGTCACTCTCGCAACCCATCATCTAATAAATACTCCACAATGCATTCCCTTAGGCCCAAATATGGTGAAGTGTCATGTAGTCGACGTTCACATAACACCACTAAGGGAATCACAACATACATATCATCAAAATATCGAACACATATCAAGTTCACATGATTACTTGCAACATGATTTCTCCCGTGACCTCAAGAAGAAAAGTAACTACTCGTAAATGATAATCATGCTCAAGATCAGAGAGGTATTAAATAGCATAATGGATCTGAACATATAATCTTCCACCAAATAAACCATATACACTACAAAAAAAAGACACATCCGTGACATTTTGGGCTGAACGAAACTTTTTTCTGTCATACATATGACACTTCTATGACGATAATTGTGACAAAACCCGGTATCATCATAGATGTGGTGGGCTCCTACTTCTATGACAAAAAATATGACAGAAAATGGGCTTTTCGTCCTGGGCGGGCCGGAGACGCAGCTGCATGACATTCTTTGGGCCGTCCATGACGGAAAAAACCGTGGTAGAAGTGAGGGCGAGGAAAATTCCGGGGAGTTCCCGGTTACGGTGGGTGGTCGAGGGCTGAGCGATGCACGTTTCTCCCATACACATACGCGCGTGCGTGCGAGGCGTTGGCTCTAACTGAACCTGAGCGGGGCATTGGGCTCTAACTGAACCCGAGCGATTGCACTGCAGGCTACGCGTTACTGAACCCGAGCGACCGATCGATGACTATTAATTGAACCCGATCGAGCGATTCCTTCGCTACTGCTGCTAACTGAAGCCGATCGATGCTGCCTCTCTGGATGAACAGTGAGCGTTGTGGGGGGTTTGGATGAACAGTGAGCGGTGGGAGTGGATGAACATGACCCGCGGCGTTGCCTCTGGATGAACAGGACCTCGTTCAGTCGAGCCGGTTGGGGCTGGATGAAAAGGACCCCGTGGAGGGATGGATGAACAGGACGACCCTGTGGAGGGCTGGATGAACAGTAGACGGTGGAGGGGTGGATGAACAGTAGCCCGTGGAGGGGTGGTTGAACAGGAGTCCGTGGAGAGGGGTGGTTGAACAGTAGCCGGTGGAGTAGCGCGCGGTGGAGGCTGGATGAACAGGAGCCCGTGGATGAACAGTCGCAGGTGGAGGCTCGAGGAGGTCGACGGTAGATGAACAGTAGCCCGTGGAGGCGGGAGGAGGTTGACGGTGGAGATGAACAGTATTCCGTGGAGTCCCGTTTTGCGGTACGCCACACCCCTCCTGATGAACAGGACCCCGGTATCGACCGTAGCGCTCCAACACAAGTCTGTTTCGTCGGTTTTGCGGTACGCCACACCCCTCCCGATTAACAAGACCCCCGTTTCAACCGTAGGAGGTCCGTTTCCTCCATTTTGCGGTACGCCAGACCCTTCCCGATGAACAGGATCCCGTTTCGAACGTGGCCGGTCGAACACAAGGCCGTTTCCTCCGTTCTGTGGTACGCCAGGCCTCGTTTCCATCGCCTGTTCCGTCCAAGCCCTCCCGATGAACACGACGACGCATTCCATTCCGACCCAGCCGGTTGGCTCCCCATGAACACGACGACGACTTTGTTTCTCCGTTTCGACCCAGCCATGTACACGAGTCCTGGCCGTACGTATGCGCGAGTAGGCGTTCGAGACCCCGCCCGTATGTACGTACATGGCCGTATTTTCTTTCTTGCACCCTGGCCGCTGTACGTACGTGTACA